TGGGTTATCAATATATTATATATATTTTTTATATACATATATATATATTTTTTCTCTTCTGCTCATTTTGATGGTGGTTGTGTATTTTCGCTGTCCCATCACACACTGACTGTGTGCTTGCAACTATACTTTAGATCTTTATTTTAAAAAGTTTTGGATTCATGGAGATACTAATTATGATTTTCATCTGCTCTATAGAGTCATTTTCTAAAATGTGTTTTTCTTCTTTCCTCTCTTTCCCCCTTGGAAATGCGATAATGCCCTTTGCTTTTTTACAATTACTTACTTTGGGATCTCGGAACAGTTTTATACAGAGGGCAGTTGGTGGAAAGTATGAGGGTAGAGTTCAGGGTAGCGGTGATTATTTCCGGTTTGAAATGAAATTCTTGTGACAGAGGTGTGTGTGTGTATGTTCCTTTACTTTTCCCCGATCAACACAGATCGTGAGCTCTAGTGCTGATCAGAGTTCAGTTTGTCTTCTACCCTGTCTAACTGACAGACTCTTCTCTCCAAGAATGATGTGACTGGCACTTTCTGATTCCTTATTGTCCCTGCTTCTCCTGAGTACAAAATAGGGTCAAGGGAAGAGCCTGTTACTGAGTTGGGAGCTCCCCGTCATTATAAATAAAAGATCGTCAGTTTTGATCCTCATGGTGAGACTCTAGTGGGAAAATACTGTTTGGTCGGGTTTGACCAAAATCAATAACTTTATCTCTTGGAATGTTCCAGCAGTCCCCTTGACCCTACCATTTTTTAAAAGACTTTACTGGATTTGATAGCTCTTCCTCATCTGTTGTGGTTTATGGTTGGTTACAGATGTCCAAGTTTCATTGGAGACAGTTTGTATTTTCAGATATTCTTCTTACTCCTTGGGCGGTGATTTTTAAGCAATGAAGGAGAATAATGAGCAGTGAGTGGTATGCCGTCTTAAATTTTGAAATCGTCCATGTCGAATACACTTTGTGTAACAATTTAAGCCCACGGCTATACTCATCGTGAACTATAAAATAGAACTCTATTCTCATCACACATATTAACCTCTGTTCATCGCAGACATCACCATGAACATGGCTGTCCATCCTAAACAAACGAGATTCGTATTTTTATTTCTAGGAAGACTTCCAGCTCTACCTTTCAAGACAAATTAGACGGTGAGAATTTTGAGTTTTATTTACCTATTAAAATAACCGATGCTCTCCTCAGATACGCTCTGGAGCTGCTGAGGAACCCCAAGGTGTCAGCTATCAACTCCGTAATGTAGTCCTTATGGGAAATAAGCTGAGAAAAAAATGGGAAGAAAACACTCTCAACGGTTGAAAAAGCACATTGGCTCCCTTCGGAGGGACTTGCGGAGAAAAGAACTTGGCTGCTTATACCACGTGAGGGCCAGGTTAAACCCTGCGATGTTCGTGTATGAGCTCTACTCTCCTGCTCGCAGACGTTATTTAGTTTATTATAGGGTTCCCAAGCCCGACCTCGTGTTTCCAACCTTTGGTTAGTGTTCTTCCCTCCCCGCTCGGCTACTGCTGTAGCTCGTGCTGGTTTTCAGAGGAGCAGCTCACTAGGCGGTGAGCAAATGATTCCAGTTTTTCGTCTGCCCGCCCGCGTACCCATCCACAGCGCACGCGGTGCAGGCGGAGTGGAGGACGAAGGTGTGTAGATGACCAGTGTTGAGGAAGAGGACGTGGGAGATGTTCATTTCCTCTGGTCTCAAGCCCTAGCGGTCCCCGCCCATCTATTATTTTTCCTTCGTTTTCCTTCTCCAAGATCCACCCTTGTCCTCACCCCACTCTTCATCACTCTGGATGTCCTTTCATGCTCTTTCTATAACTTACGGCCGTAAACACTGAAGGGCCACTTACGAGATTGTTACAGATGTTGAGTACCACCAGCTCAAAACTGTAATTTTGGTCGTCAAACAAACACGACATCGGCCATTTTAATTCTGAGGCACAGATGGCTAATGTAGATTTACACGCCTGTGAAAGAGAGAACGGTCCACAATGATCTCTCCTTCTGCTGTGAACAGAAAACACAGCGATTCTCTGCGAAAGTAAGAAAAACAAGGTCACGGGACTTACTCTAACTACTCTTGTCTCCGTGTCCTCCAGAAACAGGATCAGAGGCACCAAGCCTCCGAGAACCACGTGATTCAGCATCCACCTGTAGTGACTCATGTCCTTGAGTAATTCTCCAAAGTGTCGGACGGCCATACTCCGAATGCCTCCGTTACCCTGGGAATGTGCACAGAAAAGCCTCCTTTGAGGACGTTACTAGGGCTTCTTCCTTTAAACAGTGGTACATGTATATGTTTATATATATTTATTCATGTCTATGTACATAAGCCATATAAATATATATACTATATATGTACCTATATGAAATTATTATAATTTATTTTCAGAATGATTTATATTCATTTTGGGTCTAAATAGTCAATTTTTTGTTTGATTTTAAAATAAATTTTGGTTACCAAAATTCATATTACATTAAAAAAAACGTGAAAAGTAAGTTTCTTAAATTTAGGAAGACAGTATTTAATAATGTCTTAAAAATAGAAACTGCAATCATCCGTATAACTCAGCGATGATTTCTAGAAAGATACTCAAAGTAACAGCATTGTATTCAAATGCTGGAGGCCTTTGCAGAGATGCCAGTGAGACCAGTGGGAGCTCTTGGCGTCCTGGCATAGAACCTGATACCCTAGGGCTTGCTTATGCCAAATGGGAAGGTGCTTGGATTATAAAAATTCTAGAAGAGAAAAATTGCGAATCAGAGGAAGAGGTTTAATTTTTGAAAAGATCACATTACTTCCACTTTTTAAGAAATGTTTATGATTTCATTTGTTTTAAACCTCTTCCTTTCTGTTCTCAGGAATATGTCAGATATATTCCCAACAAAATACAAATGGCTAACATGGCTTCGTATGTTCCTTCCCAGAGGTAATTACAAAAATCAAAGCCCAAACCTCAAGCAGTGATAATTAAATTAGATGTCGCAGGGGCTGAATCACGACGTAAATGAACAAAGCAGGTGGCATCTGAAGAGAGTAGGGAGGTGATGGAAGGCGGGACAGAGGACAGCCCTGGCCTCTCTCGAGCAGGACATCCAGCCCCCACAGACCATGGCCAAGCGCATTTGTGGGCTCCCGTATTCCCAGACCTGCTGGTGTTTCACTCCCAATTCAGATTTCTGTGAACAATCGCCCAGTTTGAAAATGTCAAACTTTATTGTTTGAGGGCTGAACTTAGCACACCTGCAGATTGCATTCATCTGCGGGCTGCCTGTTTGTATCCTTAGGCTACAGGTAGACATGACACGCTAACCACCAAAAGGCTGCACAGACCTGTGGGAAGCACTTTGTTGTGCCCCCGTACCTGTCGAAATTCCAGTTTAGTTCTCCATAGGTTGAATAAGTTTGGGCACATTATTTTCTTTCCCTTTTAATATGGAGAAATGTAGTTAACAGGTTCATTGATACCCAAATATTTTTCAAATACTCTACTTCCGAGGAAAGACTTAGGGTAAATTGCTATTTGATAACTTTCTGCTCTCTTTAATTTTGTTTCTTTACATCTGGTTTGTTTTGATTATTTAGTTTACCTTTTTCCCCCCATGATTTCATTTTTAAAATAATAGAGATTTTCACACAGACATTCCAAATACTTATTAGCTGTGTGAAATGGGCCGAAAATTCACTTCTCTTCAGTTTCCTTATATGTAACCCGGATGATAGTGATCGAGTTGTTAAGAGAATTATCTAAGTTAGTGTGTGTAAATCTCTCAGGATAGTGCCTGGTACATAATAAATGCTCAAAAAATATAGCCACTATTATCATTATGTCCTTATAAAAATAATTTTGCCACTAAATTCCTTCTTTCTGTAATTTAAAATATTGCTCTCTTCTTCAGTGAAATCTGAATAATTAATAACATAAATTTTGGTAAGATAATTTACTATGAAATAATTCTCTGGTTCACAAACAACTCATTATAGAAGTCTTTAAAAATAGATTCCCCATGGCACACCAGTGTTCTTGCTTATTAAAACTTATTACTAGCATCCAAAATACATTTACCATACGAAATGAGAATTTTTAGAATATGCAACTTTCTGATGAGATATTCAAGTTTTGTATGACAATGAACACCTTCGGGGCATTACACATGCCATCTCTAATCCCCACAAGACACCTGCCACACTCTCTGTTTTACAGGAAGGAGACTGTAGCACTGAGAGCCTGAATCACCTGCTCAAGATTTCACAGCTCATAAGAGGCAGAACAGGGTTTTGGAATCATGAAACCCAGATCCAGGGCTAACCAGTGCACAGCCACTAAGCTACAATTCCTCTTTCATCCAAGGACAGAGGCTATTCTTCCATTCTCTTTCTTATGGGTAGACTTTTCTAAGCTTTCATAGTGTAGTTAAGAAAACAAAAGAGACAACGATTACCCGACTAATCTTGTTAGCTCGAGAGAGTAAATGGTGGCTCTGCACAAAATGACTATCTTCTCTTGACTTATTCTAGGATGTGAGGTCATTGCCTCAGCTGGGGCTTCCGCTGAACTCTAAAACCTAATGATCTCACACCTCTAGCTGTGTAACTCACGTGATCCATCAGGGGGCAGTAGCTGGAAGCAATTCTGATGCACAGAGAGGAGTAGGTCACCTTGTCCAGTTTTCCCAGAAGTCTTCGAAGGGTGAGCAGAGCTCGAATTACGACAGTCTTGTCTTTGGAAAGGAAGGAATCCAGGATGGCTAGCAAAAAGCTGGAGACATTATCTATCTACACGTAAAAGGAGGAAAATGGTGGGAATTTGGAACCAGAAGGAAACCTGAGCTAGCATTTGGTGTACAGCCCCCCGTGAGTTTGGGCAGCGTCCAGTGAGTGCTAGAGTTTGCGCGCAAGAGTCAATTGTCCAAAATTTTGTAAGTTGATCATTAAATAGACATTAATTTTTATAAATTTAGAAGAAAGCAATAGTAATACATACTCAAAACTTATCATTTCCTATTTGTTTTGCTATCTTTTACTCTTCTCTGACCGCAGTTATTAACGTGCCGTAAGTGGAAGGAAAAGCTTGAGCGAGTGCTCTGAGATAGCAATTCGTGTGCACGCACGTGCGTACGGTGGAGGGGAAATTAACCTGGGAGTGTGGGGGTTAGGCTGGAAGGGGTGTCCGTGTGGAGGTACTGATAAATCCTGGGTACAATGCGTGATTTTTTGGGAAAAACGTAAACGAGGTGATAAAGCCACTAAATTGACTTAACACATTCCTCCCATTCAACCCAGCTTCCCTATCGACAAAACACCAGCAAGGGCATTGAGCAATATTCAAGCTCAGATGGTGACCTCGATGGTGTGGGCAGATGCAAACCACCCACACACGTACCTGGTTGATCACTGGTGCCATGCTGGCGATTTTCTGAAGGCTCAGTTTGCTAACGGTAGGATTGGAGTCATTCACCCAGTTTCTGAAGAGAACTAAAAATTCTTCTGGGAATGGGTCCTTGAAGAAGTTATTCAGAAGCTGAAAGAAAATAGCTGATGAATATGTAAACAGAGTAAAGGCCAACGCGCAATTTTTGCTTCGGTTGTAAAAATCGAGACATTTTCAGTAAAACTGGGACACAAGTCCCACTAAGACTTGAAATACCTGCGTTCCTACTAGATTTCTGTACTCACATCACCACACAGCAAATGGGACAGGCATATTTTCATTTTATAATTAGTAATTGATATGTGGGGTGATGATTTGGTGCCGCGTGAGTATTCTGTTGGCTCCCAAAACCTTTCGCATGATGATTTTAAAATTCCTTGATGATTTTTTTTCTTCATGCATTATTATATCGGGACTTGCAAAATGGTGATTTTCTACTTCTGGCATTCTTTCTACATTTCCTGGCTGGCATCTGTCTCTCTCTATATACTTTAACGAGCATATAGAGATATGTGAACTGGTACTACAAGAATAATTAATGTTTGTGCAAATTCACACCCCCAAGGAAATAATAAAAGCCAACTCCTAGAGTAGGCTGAAGGGATGACCGTCTCCAAACCCAGATCTATCTCCACCCCCTCAAACGCAGACATCTGTTATTGTCCGAACTTGTGGAAAAATCAGTATTCGGAGAGGGAGACAGAGGTCTTGATTTGCATTTGGGTGAAGAAAGGGAGTGAGGACTCAGTCGTTCACAGTCTTCCAATAAAACTCACTTCGGTGAGGAAAATCACGGTGATGACACTGTCCTCGGACCTTTTCGGACCTTCCACCGAGAGCTTGTAGAGATAGTGCAAGGTCTCAGGGAACTGTGGAAAGTTATAGTCGCCAAGGGTTCTGTAGAGGAGAAGAGATTAGCAAACAGAATCAAGCCACTTCCTGCATCAACAAAGGCTCATGGTAGGAAAGAGACAGTTCTTGTCCTTATATTCTGTCCCACTCCGACAATAAGAAAGATTTCTCTAACGCTCCCTGATCCAAGGCAAACGGCAGCCCAGGGAAAATTCTGCACGGACTCTGGGGAAGCAGAGATACCCGGCTCACTGGGTCACTGAGAGCATCTCTTTCGTCGACGTCGGTGCTCTTTCCCGTCTCCCATCCTGCACCACAGAAGAGAACGCCCTGGGTTACCACAAGCTGCCACCAATGCCAGGCCCAAGGCAGAGAAAAGAAAGCGTGTAAAACCAGCATCTTGGCAGTTCAAGATGGCCACTCAGGTCACCTCTGTGGTTTTTGAGTCCAGTCCTCTCTTTGAATGACATAAAGAAGAGAGTTTGGGGCCGCCCTGGAGAAGAGGCAGTGAGCCCCGACTCACTAAGCTGTTTTCCGTCACCCACTTGGGTGGTGGCCAGGCTCACAGTTGTGCTGACACACTGGCCTGGATCCAGTCACTAGTGACAGGGTTGGGAAGGATGATGGGACAGAGATACCATTTGAAAACTCGAGGTTGGCATTCTAAACGAGTGCCTCTCACACTCTAACGGGAGTACGGCTCAGCCGGCCATCCTGCTAAAATGCGGATTCTGATTCAGAAGGTCTGGAGTGGGCCATGAGATTCCGTAGTTTTCACTGCCAGGTGTTGCTGTCACTGCTGGTCTGTCGCCCTCACTTTGAGTACGAAGACCCAGAGTTACCGAGGATCGAGGGACTCTTAAGTAGTGACCTTCTGCAGGCGCACTACTCTTACAAAACCCGCCGCATTCCCGAAATCTGTGTGCAGATGAGAATCTACTTGAAAAGCACCAGGCGCCCAGAGACCATGTGGAATGTCTTTTCTGGGTCAGTCACATCATCGGACGGTCCGTTATGTTGTCAAGGGCACGTATCTTGATTTTCGACCACAAACTCTGATCCCCGTAATGAGAAGCTTGCTATTTACTAACAGGCTATCTAGAGGGAAAAATAGCTTTCTAGTACAAGAAAAAAGTCCTCTTTCATTATACGTTCCTAAATTTATTTGTCTCGTCGAGCATAGGTTTTATCGAACCCTTCTTCGAGTGGCGGAGGGTGGGAGGGAGGACACGCACAACCGCCTGATGCTTGCAGTGTGGGCATCCATGAGCGACAGAGGAAGGGAGAAGCAGATGACCTCTAGCTGTCGTGTCTGAGAGAGAAGCCCATCCCGCGGAGGGAGGCCACCGTGGGTCTGGATCATCAGGTAAGAGGGCAAGGAAAGAGAGAGCTACCCCAACGTGTAAGCTCCTCGCAATAAGGGGAGTGGAAATCAAATGACGATTGAGATCACTAGGGGAGATTCAGACGCTGGAGGACATCGATTGGGCGCCCCCGTGGCTCAGCCGATGTACGGCGGGGAAGGCGGGACAGCGCCAGGGCCCCCTGCAGCCCCCGCTCTTACTTGGCCACAAGGTAGATCCCATGGTGGTGAAACAGCTCGTGGGAAAACTGGTTCCAGCAATTCCTTTTCTTCAGGGCGACCTCCACCTCTTGCAGCCCAGAGCAATTCAGCAGCACTTGCAGGGCATCCCGAGCGTAGCTAAGGCCCCGGAGAAGAGCAGAGTCACCGCGGGTCCCGACGGTGGCCTTCGCATAGCTAAGTGCAGGGGGGACCCGCCTCTTCCTTTGGGAAATCTTGGGCAGGATGGCGGTCTGGGGAAAGGGAATGTCTGACAGGCGACCGACTGCTTGCTAAATGCTCCTCCCCTCCCCTGACGGCCAGTGCATGGGAAGTCCGTGGGCCTCAAGTGAGATAGTGGCATATGCCATCCAGGATGCATCCCAGAGCAGCGTATTCGTTTATTAGCTTAACGGCTTATTAGCGAAAGTTGGTAAACGATGTGATAACTCGCTCAAGGTGTCTATTGATTTCCTTGGATGCTTTAAATAAATAGGATCTGTTCTCATTTACTCGGATGGCTTAACATATGCCCGCTTGAAAGCCAGAGAGTGGATTAACTATCACCCGGACTGACGGTTCCTGAGTTCTGCCTGCCTTAGGAGTCTATGCCAGACGACGGCACATAGCAGACGGCTGGGGCCAGGTTTTCCTGGAGAACAGCGAAGCTAACCGTGCTGTCTCGGGTCACCCGGGAGAGCTGAGCCTCACCCGACGTGGACAGAGCGGCTGCGAGCATCATGAGCCCGCTAATCACAAAGCACATCGTGCGCGTTACTTTATCTCGCTCGTACACCTGCCCGGAGCGGTCGCTGCAGGTGAGCACGTGGCAAAGCTAGGGCGCGGCCGCTCTGGGTCTCTGCTCCCTGCACCCGCCACCCGCTGGCTTGCCACCACCGTGGGAACCAACCGCGTTCTGCGGGCGTGGTTCCTCGTATCCTGCACATGCACTCGAGGACGGTCCTCGCTAACTTCTGGGCACTCAGGATGGTCGCTCTGCCGAAGGCATATTACCCTCCAGAGCAGAGTGAAGCTAATCAACGAATACCCTGCACAAGAGATTGTAAAGGCTTCTGCGAGAACCCAAGGGGTAGAAATAGTTGACAGCCAGGAGCTTATCTCTTATTCAATCTGAAATAACCACTACTCGCTTACAAAAGACCGTCGTTTACCACCATACTCATGTGGCTGCTATAAAAGAGCTGAAGCATGAGAGCCATCAAGAGCTCAGGGAAGAGCTCGGCCACCGCCTTCTTGTAAGAAGCGACGGGCAGCAAGGTGCACAGGGCTTGGGATGCCTGCAAGCGAGAAGAAAAGGCGTCAGGGGCAGAAGGCTCTTCCTCTCAACCCAGTCAGCCTCTGTGAGGGGGCAGGGGCGGGACTCTGCCACCGTCCCCCGCCCCGACCTCCTTGAAGGAGCCAGAGGTATGAACACGTATTCTTTCAGTAACAGCTACCCAGTCCGCTTTGACTCAGGAACGTGCCAAGCATTCTATGGTACTGGGCTCCCCAAGCCCCCGGAGAAGAGCCCCTTCTGCCAAATCAGCGGGGAGTGAGCTGCTTCCCAAGGTCCCCTTCATCTGCGGCGGCGAAGACCAGGCCTAGCGATAACCAGACACTCCCTGTGCTTGGACAGCCCAGGGCAGTGAGATGTCAAGGGGACGTGGGTCAGGCCACTAATACATCACTCAGCCCGCTGACCACCGGAATGCCCACCTCAGAGAAGCACGTCTCTCCACCTCACACTGGCGGGGCAGTGTCCGCTTTTTTCTATGACATCTCTGTAAGTCTCGAATTTACTACCCGGAGTGGTGGTTTTGGTCCTCGGGAGATGTATAGCAACGGATACAAGTGAGATTAGGCCTTCGCAGTTCTATAAACATACGATCGAGCAGGTGGCTGCGTCTCCAATACCACCTCCTGCACCGCCTCCCTTGCTCAATTCTCCCCAGATTTTTCGCCCTCCTTTTGTTCCCCAGTGGCATACGGGGTGAGCTCCCATCACCACAGCGTTTTTGTCCCTTCTCTCTGTCTAGATCCGCTGGTCGGATATCTACAAGGGCCACTTCCTCAGCTCACTCGGGTCTCTGATTAGACATGAGCTCGGCAGACAGGCCCGCCCCGACCAGCTCACCGGAACCCTCCCGGTAGCACTGGCTGTCCCCCATGGCACTTTGCATCTCCTCGAAGCTCCCTGTCATCTGACACACGGCGTATTTTTCAGTTCGGTGTCTGTACCTCTCACCAGCACGTAAGCGTCACGAACAGGGAGTGGCACAGAGTAGGATTCGATAAATACGTGCTGGGTGAATGAATGAACCGGAGCAGGACTGGGTGCGAAGGTAGGTAGAGGTTTCCGGGTCAGGAAGACGCCACCAGGGGAGAGGAACGCTTGCGTTACTTACCGCCACGGGCATCATGTTCGTGGAATCGATAGAGAGGCGTCTTCTCTCCATTACGTAGTCCTCCATTTCCCCAGGCTTCCCTTTCAGTATTAACAGGATTGTCTTCAGCACTTGAGGGGCCACTTTGGACTCAGAGCCGGCCGCGTGCCACATCATTATCAAAGTGCTGCAAACCCCGCCCCCGCCCCCCCCAAGTCAGAATCATAAGTGTTTCATCTCTGACTTAATACTGTGACTCGAATCGGGAACCTGCCTTGGTCTTACAGCTCTCTATAGCCAAAAAGACCCTGCAGACAAGTCCGAAACAAGCTAATATTCCTGTTCCCAAATGATCCCATCGCATCTCTTGAAAACAGAGGAAGAATTTCAATAATAAAAATACAGCCTGCAAGTCCACCCGTTCATTTCTGACTGCTGTTTAAATGTCTGTTCAGTTCAATATCAAGAACTGATCGGCTTTCTGCATCCCATACTCTGTTCCTCCCTCTTCGTGACCTTGTCTGCCCAGATGTAGCAGAATATTTAAAAAGCTGGGATGGAAATACAAATTAATATGTAAATAAATACGCTGACTGAAAAAAAAAAGGATAGGTAAAAAAAAAAACTACACAAGTTTAAAAACTAGACAATTAAATTTAAAGTTAAAAAATTAAAATTCATGGCTCGGAGGAGTGAGCCATTTGCCAAATGAGTGACCCAGATGTGATAGGATGTCCAGGCCCCCAGCCCCTTTCCGTGCACACCTGGCCACTCTTCGAGATTATTCTTGCCATCACTCATTAACCGCTACGCACCTCTGTGCAGGTGTATCTCTGATACCTTGTCGATCCATGCTGGGTTCCGAACCCCATCGCTCAGTCTCTCCATATTTAGGTTCCTAATATGGGGGGCTGGTCTCCCCAAACATGGACATTACTCCTTACTCAACTGCTCCTGCCCCTTAGAAGCAGGCTGAAGACCACACGCACATCCAACGTCATGTGCCCCGCTCCTTCCCTGATCTCTTGCTCATACCTCCGGCCGATCGCGTCCTCTTTTCTGTTTTTTTTTTTTTATTTAGCTTAACTCCAAGTCCTCTTTCCTACTTCATTCTTTATCTACTACTAATGCACAAGACCTACCAGGGACTATTTTAATGAAGCTCACCCGACTTAATGAGCTTGCTTTGTGTACCTCCTCGGTATAGTTTATACTAGATTCGTTGGAACTGTCATCTTATATCCGCGTGGGCATACTCTCCTCAACAGAACGCTTGAAGTCTGTTAATATTTTACACATGGTTTTCTCATTTAGTTCCTGAATGAGAAAACACTGAGTCTTATGAACATTTTTTAGTTTCCAGGGATTTTCTGAGTCGTGAAACACGTTGTGAAATGAAGCCTCCTAAATAAGTACGATCTTTCAGTTGGAAAAAGGAAGTCCGTCACAGTTTGGCTGAGCATTTTGTTGATTTTGATGCCCTTTCACAGACACTCACTCATTCAATCCATGGAACAGCTTTAGAGCCAAAAAGAACGTCCCTAATTTCACAGAAGAGAAGATCGAAGACCAAGGAGTTTATGAAACTAGCATAACTGGGATGGAGTTCAGGGTCATTTGTTTCCGAAGCCTGGATCTATTCCATGTCACTTCCTGCCTTTTTCTCTAGTAATAGTAGAGAAGTCACACCTTCCTTTCCAATATACAAACTATAGTGACGAGTGGACGTCATTTACTAATCTCTTCTAATGTGCCTGTTAGAGCCACGCTCTCATACGCTCACACTGGCGTTCGTCTTAAATATTTCTGGTAATCTTGGGTCATGAATTTTGCATAAACGGTCAAGGGATAGGAGACTCCTAATTATATCTGGGAATTTCTAATGTTTCATTATTTTTTTGGCGGGTGGGACTATCTTACATCTATCTTTTATAAACGAGAAAAAAAACCACTATGAATTGTATCACTTGTCGGGGGAAAAACTCATTTTCACTTTGAGGTTTGCTCCTATGGGATATATATATGCAGAACACAGTTTAAAGTCTCAGATAAATAATAGCGACATTTCTTGATGGTCTGCTGTGTGCCAGGTATTGTACGAGGAAGTGAGTAACACATACAATCTTATTTAAGCCTTGCAGTCATCCTACATCCAGAAATAGATATTTTTCAGAAAAAAAGAAATCAGACCTGACATATCCAGGCCTGTCTGACTCTGGACTCTGTGAGCAAACCCTTGCAGAAGGGGTGGGGACTGGGCCTTACTCGTCGGCTGGGACTGGGTAGTCCATTAGCTGAAAGATGACCTTCTTAGGTGATGCGTTTGTCAACAGGGTGATGACGTGCAACATAGCATGCTTCATAATGTGAGAAGAATTTTGGCACAACTGCTTATAAATGGCATCCACAATCTTAGACACCTGGAAAAGTAAATTCATAGGTTCACGAGAGTCTCCTGTTCCATGGTCACCTCTACACCAAGGCATTTCTTGGACTTAAGAATTCAGTCCTTATCAAAATGACCAAGGCAGTGGTTAACACACAAATAAGTACTAACGGAAAGATTATTTATGTGTGTGAATAATCTACACAATGCAGAATATGTATTTGGATGAGGAATAAACCTGTGCATTTATTGATAGTGGAAAATACCCCTTTTTTTAAAAAAAACTTTTATTTTGGGCAGATAGACTTTATAAGGTAACATACACAAGCTCAATATAGAAATCACATGTATAATTCAAATGCTTTAAGGAGAAAGTCAAAATAATGGAGCAAAATAACATGGAGCTATCTATGCAGAAAATCGGACAGCTAAAGAAGATTCGAGTCTACATGGTGAGGCGAGGAACTAAGTGTTGAGGAATGGCCCGGGGCAGTGAACGCTGAATCACGATCTTATGAATTCATAGTTATAGGCCCCATGTTCGTTTTCTTTTTCCCTTTTTTTTTTTTGTTCATTTTTGAACAAGGGGACTTGTAGGTGGATCTGGAATTCGTCTCAAACCAATGGTTGTATATTCAGCATCAGATTTTTAAAAACTAAATTTATTTATTTAAATTAGTTTCATGTATACAGTACATTGGTTAGACATCTTAATGTTCACAAACGATCCCCCCAATTGCTCCCTCTCTCCCCGGCCCTTCACTTAGCCATCACATTAATGCTGACTGCGTTCCCTCTGCCGTGGCCCCCATCCCCGTGACCAAATGTCAACTACTAATGTGTCCTTCTTTAACCCTTCACCCCATTCTCCCAGCCTCCCAACTCCCCTCCCCTCTGTCCATCACCAAATTGTCCACTATATTTGTGAGTCTGTTTTTGATTAGTTTGTTCTTTTTGTTCCTTAGATACCACATATAAGTGAAATCTTATGGTGTTTATCTTTCTCTGTCTTGTTTCATTCAGCATAATAACCTTTAGGTCCATCCATGTCATTCATTGCAAATGGTAGGATTGCATTTTTTTTAATGGCTGAGTAATATTCCATTGTATATGGAACCATAATTTTTTTCATCCAGTCATCTGTTGATGGGCACTTCTATATCTTGGCTATTGTAAATTGTGCTGCCATGAATATTGGCATGCATAGATCTTTACAAATTATTGTTTTGGTTTTCTTCGGATAAATACCCAGAAGTGCAATTGCTGGGTCAAAAGGTATATCCATTTTTATTTTTTTTGAGGAATTCAACATCAGATTTAATCTACCCAGATCACCCCACTTCTTATTTTGAAAATACTCCTCGGAAACCATACGCTGAAAAGTTGGTCGACGTACATTTATGTTCCGTTGTTATGGAGTCATATAGTGTCCAGGTATCCGTGCACACCCCTCTACTGCAAACACAAGGAAAAAAGCGAGGTGTCGAGCAGTGCGGGACGTTCCCCCTGCCACCTGTGCTTCCAGGTGAATGTGAAGAGGAAGACATCAGACCGTTATTCTTCTCCACGAACCTCTTAACCATTGGGTTTAGAACCTTTTCTCCTCCTCCTCCTCCCGCTCCTCCTCTAAATGCAACCTGCCCCCCAGACAAGCCAGCTACGCCGCCGTCTGCTCAGTGATGGAAAGGGAGATCTCCTTTCACCCTCAAGGAAAGACTTGCTATGTTAGCTTTCTTTAGAGATAATCAGGCCACGCACTATCGGTGACATTTGGGCCATTTCCAGGGATAATTTTAGTCCTACAGAATTTCTCATTATAACTGATTTTAGAATCTCACTAAAGGCAGGGTCCACTGTATTTGGTAGTTCAATTGCCCGTGGCGGCTGGGGGTGGCGCTACGTTGCTGAATCCCATTTTTGGTGAGTTTTTTCTTCTGCGTTTAACGATTTTACTGCAGCGTCGGTTAGTTCTACACATCTGCTTTTCTGTTTGGCTTCTCTTCCTCTCCAGGGACAAGGGATGGCTCTATGTCACCTCCGTTTCTCAGTGCATGAGAACTTTATTTTGTCAAGAAGAGGACTGTCACCCTCCCGCGGCCCCCTCGGTTCCCTTTGGGATGCTCCCTCGTGTCTGCGGCAGCATCGGGAATTCTAGAAGTGTCCCTCCCGAGTAACGAGCTCTCGATTGGCCTTCTGTCTCTTAACACTGCCACATCAGGAGGGGGAGCTGAGCTTCCACCCGCTCAGCACCGTCAGGGCTGGTTCACGCGCACGTGACCCGCCTCCCACACTCAGAGGGCCCCTCGCTTTGCTCAAAGGTCTGCCGTTGCCATCTTGATAGTTTCAGTCATCTTATCTTCGAGCTTGTGTTTTGTAAGCGAAGTCCCGTGGCACAAGGGAGCATGCGTGTGACACCCTAAGGCCACAGAATTCTCGAGGACCCATGACATGTAGGAAGGGATCTAGTGGGAAATCACAGCAAGTCTAGGACAATCGCCTAAGGTGAAAAGGATGACACAGAGGGGAAGAGAAAGATGGGGGACCCATAACCCTTTTCCTTTCAGTCTTTTGCCTACTCGTTGAGAAGCTGAGGGTAGAGAGTGTCGCTAGAATGTGTCAATGACGAGACGAGAAATAAGATCAGCGGGGTCAGTTCCATGGAGTGTTCCTGCTCTAAAAAAAGTGAAAAGCATGTCCCTGGGCGAGCGTGAATTGCATTATTTTCTTAAGTGCTTCTAGATTTATATCTATAACTGATATTATACAATATAAAGATGGATGGTAAAATTCACGTTAATTATTTAAAATTTTCATGTTTTTTTTACTTAGACATTAAATAGGAAATAAAAGCATCATAAAAAAAGGGGGGTAGGGAGAGAGAGAGAGAGAGAGAGAGAGAGGGAAACTGTAGCGGAAACAAAAAAAATTTCATATGTTTGTACCTTTCGTGGAACTTTCCCCCTATGTTTTGAAGACGAAGCCCTCCACTTCATTTAGCATGGGCCCCATGAACTAGGCAGCCAGCGCTCCAGCGAGCTGAGGGGCCTGGCGAACTGTCTTACCGGTCACAGGGGTGATTTCAATCATTGCTGAACTGTTCTCTTGTTGCTGTATTTCTTTCACAAATTTGAAGGAAATATGGCAAAATAGGATTTGGCATGATCGGTGGGTAGTGTTCGCTATACTATTTTCTGAACTCGTCTGCGCGCTTGAAATATTTCACCCCCCCAAAAAAGCCTCATTCGATTAAAGCGGCGTAATGGTGCAATGTCAAGGAATAAATATGATTGAAGTAGGCAGAGAGCAAAGGCAAGAACAGCGCTGTAGAAAAGCAGCTCCGGGCACCCCTGCTTGTTGTCACGCCTCTTACCATGGTGACCTTGGGGGCGTGGTACTCCAGAGTCAGCTTCAGTAGGATGGCCGCCTCAAATGCAATTGTACTGTCCGGTGCGGAGAGTTTCGTCAAGAGACGCCACACAAAGTCAGTCAGCAAGGACGGCAGTAAGCTTTGTCCTACGCTCTGAAACCAGAAGAGAGAACCATGACCTTGGGCCTCACCCACATCAGCCTAGGAAAGACGGCTGACTCGAGACATCTCGGGGACACTCCAGGGCCGGGCAGGACCATGTGATTGTCATGGACTCTAAGCGCTTTTGCTGTTGTGGGCCTCCTCCTCTGTTTAAAAATGTTAAACATTATAATTTACGAATGTGTTGGTATTAAGATGACTGTAATTCAAACGAAATCCTGTGTGTGCGTTTCATCTGATTTTTAAAGCAATTAAAACCTTTCCATCTGAGTAAGTCAGCTCTGGGGGCAAAGTGGAAAACCGTGCTACTCAAATTAAGAGGAACTGTCAAATATGGACTTTACTCCAACTCTGCCCTTCAGATAGTAGGGAGTATCGTAAACGTCTTCAGCTTTGGAAATGATCTTGCTCAGATCAGAAGCAAGCATGATCTGGAGAAGACTCGGAGGAGCAAGGGGGTGATTCTAGGGCATGGACTTTTCTCTTTCCCAGGGAGGGATCAAGCAGCAGGGAGAGAAAGAAGGCCCACGTATCCGGGACTCAGCTCAAACAGTCAGAGCTAAGTTCAAACAACCCCTTCTCCTGCAGCCCTTTAAAGAGAGGGAGCCGGACCCTTTCTGGGCAGACTAAGGTCTGAGTGGAGGTGGGCAGCCGCCAGGCTCCCCAAGCCTGGGCAGAGGGGTGAGAGATGGTATCCTTAGGTGGCTATGGATGAAAGTTAGGGGGGGTCACTAAGGCGTGGTGACATGAACTGAATGCCATAGTTTGCCTTATTTTAAGAAAGCCAGATTTAATTATATAAGATGCTGAACTTTAAAAACCATCAGAAAGAGGACGTTCTCTTTCGAGTGTTTGTTTATTCGACAAGATGTTTTATTTCAGCGTCTGTGTCAACGTCGTAGGAAAGCAGCTCCTAGTGAAGCGGAGAGCTTAGTGTTTGAAGTTCTGTCACGCGAAGGTACAGGCATGACGGCAGAGTAAGCGAACGGCAGGCCTCGCTTTGTAACACGTGACCTACACGTAACTCTTCAGAAACATACCAGCCACATAGGCTGGGTTCTCTGGAGGGCACCTTGAACTCCTCCTGTCTCTTGCTAGTATAACATGAGGTTACGTGTTCTTGATGCTACTCATTGTGACGGCTGCACAATATACTGTTAACTTGATATTCCACAAGTTGACATTTATTTTTCAGTTTTTCTTAAAACATCCTACATCTGTGCAGAACCTCTTCTTATGGCCATCTTATTTTGAGTTATTTCCTTTTTATAAATTCCCATGAGTGAGATTACTAATTTATTTGGTGCGAATTTTTTGTTTTGGTCGGGGCGGGGGAGGGTTAGTCTGTGACACTTTCATGGCCCTTTGTGGCTCCTTTAGAAGACAATGTCTCCTCATAACTGGTCACTGTACAGAAGAAGAGTCCCTTAGTGTGTGAACTGTCACCCCCGCTCCAGTCTAATCCACCCATTTAATGGCGTTTTGCTTCCAGCTCTCTTGGCTAAAACTCTCGCTGCTTCTCCTCCCATTTGCATCCTTCAGGTTTTGACTTCCTTGGTCTCTTACGACAACCTGAGGTTGTCTCACCCCTTGGTTCCAGTCTGCCTCTGAAAGTCCCCGCCTCAGAGTTTTCCGGCTCCTGTGCCTGCACACCTGCCAGCACTGGGCCTGCGTTGGTCTCACAGCTAGGAACTAAATAACAGGTCATGAACACAGGGACCCAGGCGCCTGCCCTCTTCCCAAATCCAGAGAATTCTAAGTCTGACGGACATTAAATTCAGATAAGAGAGGACCCCAGCCTGCAAGTGGCAACAGCGAGCCTCACGAACCACTCGGAGAAGGCCCCCGTCCCAGGCCCGCGAGCCCACCTGTGGCACTCAGGATTTCACTTCCAGGATACTGGAGTGGAGGAAGGAAGGATGTAGAAGGATTTTCTGGCAAACCTATACAGAGGCCTGGTTTCTTCATGTGAATGGATAACTCGATAGCCAGCCAGCCTTGTGATTTCTGAGAGGAGGCGGATTAAGAATAACGCTTGATTTTGAAAGACGCACCCTCATGCAGGTGCATGTCGGAGATAGCTCTGCTATTGGAGTTTTGACCATATTATGTGAGATGGTTCAGTTCTGCAGCCCCTCAGCCTCCCACAGTTCTGTCTACCTCAGCCGCTGGAGAGAAGGGCATTGCTTTACATTTGTAGTTTTAGGAGGAACCATAAGGCCCTCTCGACTCGAGAAACGAGCTGGCCCGAAGGTGTTTGCTGAGCGATCTTTTCAGTGGGTGTAGCTAGAAGGCCATCTGTGGGACACCCTGACCTGGGTTTCAGTGCCGAGTGACCTCTCACGCATCCGGATAAGCCCATGTGCTTTGAAGAAGGTGAGAGAGTATACAGAGCTATAGAGAGAGTTGGGTCAAAGTAAAAACTACTCGATACTGAGGTTTATCACTTAAAGTTTAAAAAATTTTAATAGTTTTTTTTTATATGAAAACAAAACTTAAATCACGTTAGTACTGAAAGTTTGTTAATTGGTGACTCCATGAATTTTGCTAAAAAAATCAGAAGTTCCTCGTCTCTAACGACTCATTAGCCAAACAAAAAGCTTAACTTAAGAAACACCCCCCTCGTTTGTATTCTGTAAGAATTAAATAAAATAATATAAATCGCTATATTCAGGAATAATAGGCACAATTCTTATTATTAGAGATAAAAAGCAGAAAGCCAATGCTCTACGTATCATTTGTTCTTTGTTCATGGAATTAAAAAAATAGAAAAATTATTAAAACATAAATTTCGTTGAAAGAAGTTGTCACTCAGAGTAATAATACCCATGAAACGAAAGCCACACGGTAAAGCAGAGGCTAAGTTACCTGCGCAATGTTGACTTTGTCTTGTTTCAAGAGGTTGGGTAGGAATTCGACTTTGGAGAAAGGATACAGGAGGTAGGAATCACCAGACTTATCATGCCTTGTAGTTTCATTTTTCATAAGTTCCGCTGTATTAAAGAAAAGAGGTAAAATTTTTTATGTGATCACCAGTTCCTTCTATGACATTACTATTTCTAATTTCCTCTTCCTGACCAATTCTGGAGAGCTGAAGATTTCTAAATATTTAATGCTCTGTGGTAGTTCAGTGACATAAACTATTACGAGAGCACTGACCCAGAGTTCAGTAAGTGGCTAAGAGGCCTCCGTGAAGTATGAATGACGAATATAGATCATTTTAACAGGTTGACCAGATGTCAAACACATTCAAGCATCAAATGCATTGGTCAGGGCACTAGAAAAGCTGCTGCTGCGTGGGACTGTGTTGGCGGAGGGGCAGGCTGGCAGGCGTTTTGCTGAGGGCCAGGGTTGCGGTGTGGCAGGTGGGCCAGGCACGCTTGACGAAAGCTTCAGGGGCAGGTATCTTTAGTTCCAGAGAAGGGAGGTTTTAAATGAGTTGTTTGTTTGTCGACAGCTTTAGAGAGGTGTAAATGACAGACAACATATTGAAAGTCTAAATTTGCTAAGTTTTCATCTATGCATACATTCGTGAAAACATCACCACAGTAAAACAAGACGTTTCATCGTCTCCAAAAGTTTCCTCACGTCCCTTCGTAACCCCTCACACCTGCTCCCTGTCCCCACCCCTTGATCTCAAGGCAGCCGCTGACGTGCTTTCTGTTAAGCTTGCATTTTCTGATTTTATGTAAGTGAAGTCTTATAGGACGTACTCTTCTGTTGTTTGGCATATTTTGCTCTGCAAAATGATTTGTGACGCATCCATGCCGTTGCATGTATGAGCAGTTCTCTCTTCTTTATGGATGAATACTATTCTGTCGTACGCGTGCACCGTCATCTGTCTATCCCCTCTCCTGCTGATGGACATTTAGTTTGCTTCCGGTTTGGGCTGTTACAAATTAAGGTGCTCTCCACGTGCATGTGCAAGTCTTTTTATCAGTATTCGTCTTAATTTCTCTTAGGCAAATACTAAATTGTAGAATAACTGGATCATATGGTAGATGTGTGTTGAACTTTTTAGGGTACCGCCAAATGATTTTCCCAAGTCTTCGAACCATTTCTCTGTTCTTCTAGCAATATGTGAGACTGCTAGTTCCTTCGAATCTCTCATAGCACGTGGGATGGTCAGTCTTTTCAATTTTAGACATTCTGATGGGTGAGTAGTGATGCGTCGTTGCAGTTGTAATTTACATGTCTTTTACGACTATATGTTGAACATCTTTTGATGTGCTTCTTTGCCGTCTGTGCCTCTTTGGTGAAGCGACTCTTCAGAACTACTATCATGTTCTAACACGGTTGTCTGTTTTCTTGCTGGGTTTTGGGTATTCTTTTTAAATTCCGGGTACAAGTCTTTTTATCAGATATGTAGCTTGCAAATATTTCCTCCCAGTCTGTGAGTTATTTATTCTTTTAGCAGTGTCTTTCAAAGAGTAGAAATACTTACTGTATCATTTTTTTTTTTTCATTTGTGAGTCATGCTTTTGGTGTTGTATTTGAGAACTCTTTGCCTAATCCAAGGTACAAAGGTTTTTTTCTAGCTTCATAGTTTTAGGTCTTACATTTAGCCCTATGGTCTGTTTTGAATTAGCTTATGTATATGTATGAGATATAGATCAAAGTTCTTTTTTTGCATCTAGATAATCAATATTTTTAAATTATTAATTAAAATTATTATCAATTATTAATTTTTAAATTATTGGGGTGACATTGGTTAATAACATTCTATAAGTTTCAAATGTACAATCCTGTAATACATCATCTGCATATATCCCTTATTATTCTTTTAATACCCGTAAAATTTCTCGCGATCTCCTCTCTCTCATTCCTGATATTGGTGATTGGTATCTTCTCTCTAATCCCACCCACATTAATTTTCTCAAAGAACCTACTTTTGGCTCCCTTGCTATTCTCTTATCGTTCTTCTGCTTTCTGTTTTTACTGGGTTTTGTTCTGATCTTAGTTACAGACCCTTAGTAACATTTAGAGAGGAAGGCGACTCTTACCATGCTGACACTTTGCAATGCAGAGGAGGTGATACATTCCGAAGGATGCTTGCTGTGTGATTGACGGGTCAGTATGGGAACATAAAAGAGAGAGTTCGGCTGCCAGGGCCCCCAGACATGGAGTGTCCACCCTTGTCTAACGGAAAACAAAAGAGAAGATTCGTTGCTACGCGGAGTCGACATTAAACGTCTGCTTCAGACCTCTAGAATCGTTTAACGGAAGGGACAGACATTCTTCGAGTGAAGCGGTTTCTTCAGCCTGATGGACATGTGGGTCACGTGAGAGAAATATCACTACGAAATTTTTTTTCCAATGTAATATGAATGATAGTCAAGATTGTTCCATAGGACAGAGCCCCTGAGACTGAAAGACCTAGGCTAGGGAGATTAATGAAGAAAAGTCTTTATCCAGTGAGAATGGAGTCACAAGGCAGGACACATCTTCATTAATTATGGGTCATAGAGATTTACAGACCTGGCCTGTGGGAAGCTTCGCTTTTAAGTGATCAATAATACTTTTGATTTTTAAAATGTATATATCTCCCCACCCCCATTAATTTCACTGACTTGACCATCTTTAGAAGACATAATTTAAAGAGAAAGTTAACTTGGCATTGTTTTATGCTTCCATGACTGTGATAAGCTCTTGGTTTCCCTAGTCTGGAAAATGCTGGTGTGCTTCCCCCTGCTGGCTGTTAGCAAACATTGCAGAACAGAGAGATAGATCATCCCCGGCTTGGCTTGTCAAAAAAAATCTCAGTGATAGCCAGGAACCCTTGACAAAGTATGAGAGCCTTCTGCTGCACATGTGAATTTACACATTAATGCTTTCACAGTCGAGGCGTGCGCTGTGTGCAGGGGTCAATGAACCTTACGACTGTGACTGAAAGAGGCTGAGTATACAAGGATTCGTAGAATGAGACATGTTCATAAATATCTAAAAGGCAAGCGACGATGTCATTCAAAATATAGAAAACCTCCGTAAATATTGGCAGTTATTAAATAAATGTTTCTTCTCCATCTGAAAGGAAACAACGAAAAGGTCCAATAATAGCTCAGTGTTTGTGAAGGCGTAAGGCAATGGCCACGCTAATAATTGCAGGAAGGCAAACTAGAAGACGATAGTGCATTACTAAACTTCCGTCGTTCATATGTTTTCATCTATTATCTTTCTGAACATTTCTAAGCACATACTCACATACTTGTACAAACATGATCATTTTTGGATTGCTGGAAGTAGAAAAAAACCCCAAAATATACCAAAATATTCATTTGAAATGCCCATCAGCTGAAGAACAGTAAGTAGACTATATTAAAATTATGGAGTATATACTGTGGTTAAAAGAATGAAATAAATCTATGAAAATATCTTTGGACATACTGTTCAGTGCAAAAAGCAACTTGCAGGACCAGATGTAAATAGGATGTGGCTTTAGTAAAGAAATACAGAAATGTAGTTTTCGGAAGCAGGTGGCCTAATAGCATTCTGTGACTTACGAATCCTTTGGCTTTCCTGGATGCAAAGCTTAGTACCCTGGTGATGATCACCAGGACTCTCTCCTGCAGATAGAAAGTATCTTCACTCATCCACACGGCCATTTCCTGTTGAAAACACAAGAGTTATAGTGTTTTCATTTCCACAGACAGCGGAAACGTCCCCAAGTCGAGGGGCACCACTGTCTTCTGATTATTTCACACCCAACTTACATTTATTTGAAAAACACACACTAACCAGCTAGTACACCTGTCTACTAGTATAGTATACTCCTTCATCTGCTGTGGTTGGTAGCCCTGGGTTTTATTTCATTGCTCCAACAGGTGTTTATTAATATCCACTGTGACAGTCATGTTGCCAGGCAGCGTAGAGAGTTTAACATGTGACTAGGAGGGCATCACCGGCTGCTTCTCCTCCTTTTTGTCTTTCAAAATACATATTCTTTCTTCTTTTAAAAATCACAGGATCTGATTTTCAGCTAAAAAAAAAAACCACGTTAAAATGTTATCCGATCCTGAAATGTCATCTTATCCCAGAATTTTCTTTCCAGATTCACCACCCAGACGTGTTCTGGCTCATGGTTGCAGAGTGCATTCCTGTAGGCAGCTTGGTTAGAAAATTCTTGCTGCTTTTGATTCCGGTCTGCCTTGCTGTAACGTCTGTCTGTCTGTCCTAGATCCTCAGATACGACCTTGGGAAGGGAAGAAAACTGTGTGATTCCCACGTGCCAACCGCCGTTAACAGACTTCTTCAGGCACAGTACTTAGGCCAGTGGTCGGCCGAACCCCTTTTCCTTCAAGTGCTGCCATTGTGTGAAACTGTTCTGAAGCCCACATCCTTGGGCTGAGGAGTCCATAAATCTCAGGGCGGTCAGCTTCTGCCTTTTCCAGGAGGGAGGTTCAGCTCTTTTTGAGAATCAGGAGCGTTTCTAGACATGGCAAGACGGTTAAGTAACAGACTCCCGAATCAGAGCAGCTTCTCCACTCCCTAGCACGAAACATGTGACTGTCACTCTCTCTGCCACCATTTCCTCATCTGCAAAATGGGAGCGATGACAGTTGCTTCCTCATAGGGTTATCTTATGGGGTAAGTGCGATAACCCAGGTATTAAGTGCCTGACGTAGACCAACCGCTCAAAGCATGCGTGGGGAGTGGCTCGTATCCATGAGGCGATGTTAACTACTTTAAAAGGTTGTAAAATTAAAATTTTTTAAGTGCACAGAAAACACTTGACTCGAATTAGGCACAAACGAGCTCACGATGTTTCATTTTCCTTCACATTCCTTCTTGTCCTCGTAGATACCAATTTGGCTTCTTTACTTGGATGTATTTTATGATTTGGACAACCCACATGGATGCTCCTGGTAGAGTAAGTCAGTCTGGTTTTCCAGAATTGCCAGACAGCTGTCACCCGATGCCATCACATTATGAATGCAAAATTAAAGATCTCGAGACATCCAGAGCAGTCTTCTGTCCCTGGCTGGGCCATTGAAAACACAGTGAGGGCTTGGATGAGAAACTGAGGTTTGGGATGGCTGTTTGGCCTTCCTCTGACCCCGGGGTATCCATGGAGATGGGATGCTCAGGGGATTCCCTAGCCCCGGAGTTGTCAGGGAAGGACATGCGTATAGACACCGTCCCAGTGCGGTTCATTTTACGTGGGCCCGAAGGCCATGTAGGCCAGTCCCCCGCTTCTCTGCTGCCCATGATGGGTTCGCTCTTACATTGCCACCTAATACTCGGCTTCTCAAATGTGTGTTGATGTCATCCTCCCAAAATTAACTTCTTAAAAGTCTATCTCTCTAATTCAAATAAAGGGAAGTGATTTCCTTTGGGGGATAATCACACTCCTTGACAAGAAAACATTTTCTTCAGCCCTGAGATATTGGAAGGAGAAACAAGCATGGCAAAGGGGAAATAATCCGTGAAACACGGTCAGCTTTTTAGAGGTATGGCAAGAAAACGATATTTCTCATTTTCCCTTTACCTTTAAGATTTGCAGTTTGTACAGGTCTTTAGACACCAAGATCAGAAGAGTGTCCTCATACACGTTTAAAATATTTTGGTGTAAATTCTGAAAAACAAGGAGCCACATAACCAGTCAGCCAGCCAGCCTTACATCAAATTTTATCCAATGTCTATCGTTTTGCATCCTGGCATCTTAAGTTCTCACCCATAAACCGAAGGTAGGAAGGACGAGCTGTAGCTGTGCAGAGACCTCGCCCGGTGCCCCTGGCCACACGTCGCTCCTGCACCTTACGGGGCCCATGCTCTGCGGAGCTGTGCAGAGGAGTCAGGGACCACGCATGCTGCCGGTGTCACTCTGGGACTCTCCCTGCGTCCACCTCTCCCTGCTCACATTCCCTCTTTGCAGCTCCTGCCAGTAAACTCCTCGTCCTCGCTAAACCAATTAAGCAAAAATCCATTCACCCCTTTATTTGTTCCTATAAAACCAGTACAGTCCATTAAATCCCATGGGTCGTTGCATTCATACAGAGCCCAAGGGTAGAGATGAGCGCTGGGAAGTACTGTGCGTCCACCTTAACTCCCAAGAGAGCGAGGAGAACACCACAGAGTTTGCGACCTGCCTGGAGAGACGTTTCTGAGGACGACTGTGGTGCATCCTGATGTCCCGCCGTGATGGCGGGAAGCAAAATCCTACCTCCAGGTCCTTGTTGTTGTTGCGGCTGCTTATTTCTCTCAATTTGTCAAAACTCGGTATAGAAAATGTCTTTTTAAAGGACGACTCTATCATGGTCAACTGAGCTTCAAACTGCAGCAAGGGATCCACAAAGCTGGCAAGAAAAATGTGCAGTTATTACATTGAGGAGAGAACAAACCTAACCTCACTTTAGTGGCTTTTTCTTAGTGCTAAGAGAGATCGTACTAGAAAAGGAAGCCCAGCTTTTGGCTTTATATAATGCGTGGGTTTTAAATAGTCTCATAAAACTGACAATGAAGCTTTCAATGTAAAGGAATGATTTTTTTTTATTGGCAAACAAATCACTCGTAATTAGTTATTTGGAAATCGGACTTTTTTTCCTCCATAGACATAGTAATGTAAAGAGTGGTTATGTTCTCAGCCAAGGCCATGAAGCTATGCTGAGCTTTAGGTGGTTGAAATATATTACTGCCACAGTTTTCTCTAATCCATGATATGATGTTTCTCACGTTTTAATATATCCGAATTGCAATGCATCTTCCAACTGATGGCAACAGAAATGTGCCCATCGGCGAGCAGCTAGAAAAGTAAGTTGTGACACGGTTGTTTTTCATTTGGTACGTGTGTGATCTGAATACCAGTCCTTCCTGATTTTTTTGAGGTGAAAATAATTCTTTACTTTTTGAAGAGATGGTGATATAGATGGTAAGGTAGGAAATCCACTGCTGGACTCAGAATCTCTTTTCTCTACTGAACAAGACACTCTAAATGTCTGAGGAGCCACTGTTTAAAAGAGAATCTCTTGGGTCACATTAGGTAGTTTCCAGATCTTGTGAAGATGGGTTGGACTTATTCATGGGCTCTACTAGATTATCAGACTCTGAACAAGTATCTATCAAAAGTTTCTAGTAGAGTTTTTTAGAAGAAGGTGTTTAACTTCTAGGGATATATGATCTGGTTTAGGAAAATGCAAAATTAAGATTTTGATGAAATAGAAAATAGTGTCTCAAATGTTAAATGTGAAGAAGGCTGAGAGTCAGACACTGATAACACTAAAGAAGAAAGCCACGTGCACATCTATGTGTGAGCGTGGGCAACTGTCGGCAAGTACACATTTTTTTGGTCTACGTGTAATTGGTTTTCAAATGAGACGTTGTTAAGTTACTAACGTGTGTTACAACAAGTGATGTTTTAGTGTAAGCATTTCCTTTTATTCTAGAATGTGCAACCAGGTGGTATAGAAAGGAGTTTGAGAAGAAAAACATTCCTCATTAAATTACTGTACGAGTTTGCTTTTGTTAAATTTTTGAGCTACATGTTTGCTTCAAAGATTGAAGCGAGAAGTAGAACAGATATACTAAAAATATTACTTGGGAATTTTTTTTTTATGAAACAGCAAGTTTTAGATAAGATCAATAAAAAAAGGCAGTATATATTTTTACAAGCATAATTTCAAGAATCACAATTGAATAAAAGAAAGTAGATGCCTCCTAATGAGAGCATGGGAAATTATATTAAATATGATCAGAAACAAATCAGGGGGCCATATTAATATGACACTATGTTTAATTCAAATCAAAGAGTATTAAGAGAGATGTATACAATTCTTATAAAATAATAAAAGACATAATTTATAATGTGAAATATCCAGAATCACATAGAAATAAAATTTATAAATTGTTAGGTATAATTTTTAAAATATATGTTATTCAATTATTAAAGATACGAGGAAAATAGAAATTATTAAAGATACAAGAAATAGAAACAGTAGAAAGATTAAGCATTTGGTTTTCTGCATGTGGTAGGTAAAAATAAAAATTCTGCAAAAGAAGAGACCTTTAATATAACTAATAAGGAAGTATTCTTATATATATAATAAATTGTATTAACTGAGATCACGAGGATTATATTTTCAGATAATCATGGAATGCTGACACATATTTATCATATGCTTCACCATAGAAAGTTCTAAATATGAAAGGATGTATGTTTCATTCTATCATCGCAATGAGAAATCTATTTTTAAATTTATAAGATTCAAAGGACTCAGAAATACTTGAATGCTATCAAGAGTTTTTCTCACTTAAAATGGCAGAAAAATAATGCACTAAGCTTATCACTCCTCGGTGCAGGTCTTCTGGACCACAAACTGACAGTACATGCTAAAAGCTCTAAGAAGGTTCATCCTATTTTTACTAGTTCGGGTTCCGGGGAAGCAGCTCTCAGAACGGGATGCAGAGAAACCAGAGAAGACGCGAAGGGAGGAAGGGCCTGGAGTGGCCGGAAGGGCCAAGGAGGGTTTCGCCAGGCCGATGGAGGCTCCTTAAGCCCAGTCGCCCACTGGAGTGCTCGTCCCGCCATGCTGGGTCATCGGCGGGGGCAGCCTGCAGAAGCGAGGCCTCAGCGACGGTCCCGGTGGACATACACTGTCGACCAATCAGAATTCGCAGGAGCAGGCCCTGTACACGGTGGCCCATCATCTACATCGATGGCCTCACTCTCAGATATTTCAAAGGCGTATGGTAGAGAAGATACAGTCTTTTACGTACAAAGATGATTGTCGTAATATTGGAAAATATAATGCAGAAAATTTTTAATGTGAGAATATTATACTATATTGAAATGGAAGTATGACTGTATGGAAGAACAAAAACCTAAGACAAAATGCCCAAATGAAAAGTATTACAGAAAATTGAGTGCACGGTCTGCTTATGATTCTGCACTCATGATCTGCCTATCCATGGAACACAGAAAGACTGGGAAAGAACATGAGAAAGAGAGAAAGAACAGTTGCTGAGTTAGGATGGTGGAATTCTGAGTCATTTTTAATTTTTCGCCGTTGTGATTTTCCTCTGTTACATTTTAAAGATGTTCAATCAGTGAAATAAGAGAGAATTGCAGTTTACGGTACCTGGAATTCATGGCCAGGATCATGGCTTGATTACTTAAGAGGCTCGCGTAGGCATCCCAAAGCCTGGTGGCCACAGGCTCCTGGAAGTACCAGGAAAAAGAGAAAAATCAGTGATAACGGACTCATCACGTCATGTGTAGGTCTCCCATCCTGGGCTGGAACATAAGCCCAAGAGTTCATAGAAGTTTTGAGACCAAACTGTAATGACACCCACGATACCGAATGCGGGCCTTTTACAGGCAACCAGTGTGCTTATCGAATTCGCATTTGCAGACCCGGTTTCGTGAGGCACGCTTTCCACCGCAGAACCGTTAGGTGCGATCTGCTCAGGGTGGCGTCTGCCTCTGACGATGCTGGCAGGGGGACGGAAGTCTAAGCCATGGGCGACAGAAGGAGAACCACGTGCAGGTCAATGCACAGCTGTGGAACGAAACGGTTGAAACTCGTCCGTGAGGGTCGGTGAGATTCCACGGAGAGCTCCCGGTGCTCCACTGGAGAGACAGGAGACCGCGAGAAAGCCCGATGGGACAGCAGCTCCCTTCTCCCGTGCACCCCGCTTTGCTCACGCGAGCCTGTTGCAAAGTCGTTTTCTTGTATCACGGCCGTGAGCGCTGTTTATGGACATTCTCGCTCTATACTTCTGAAGTAGCTCAAAGTCCTCTTCTAGGTGCTGCTGCATGATGACGATATGTCTGAGGGGACTTATGTCCTCTACTGCGTAGGCGGAGCCCGCCCCTGATGACTCGTCACCCTGAAAGGCCCTCCTCTGTTTGCTCCGTGCCGGTCCTCTGACTCCAGCCTTGCATGCCCTGTGGCCTCTTTGCGCTGCCTCTGTGGGATGTGGCGGCCACCCCCGATGGGCTAGGGCCAGACGCCTGTCCATCGGATCCCTGTTATGGGCTGCGTGGTTATGTCCTCTCGAAATTTACATGTTGAAACGCTAATGCCTGGCGTGATGGCGTGAGGAGGTGGGGCCTTTGGAGGTGGTTCGAGTTAGATGAGGTCATGGGGGTGGGACCCCCTTAATGGGATTAGCGCCTTTATAAGAGGAGACCCCAGAGAGCTTGCTTTCAGTCTCCCTCTGCCATATGCAGATGCAAGGAGAAGACTGTCTGAAAAGCAGGAGTGGGCGGCCTCTCACCGGACGTGCATCTCCTGTGCTCTGGCCCTGGGCCGCTCAGGACTATGGGAAATGATTCTCCGTCGTTTAAGCCACCTGGTCTGGGGCGTCTCGTTAAACCAGCTCGAACTGACTAAGGTAGTCAGATAAGCTTCCTGACTGGAGGTCCGAACTCAAAGACGGTGTTTTCTCGCTAGGCGTAAGCACCCTGCCATGGCCTTCCCAGGACACAGCATGTCGAGTGTCATCTAGTGTCCCCTCCCTGGGCAGTGCTCAGACTGAGTGCAGAGCACTCGCTCGCTTCTCTCGGATGTTTGTATTTGTGCCCACCATTGGTTCTGAGCGACGTCAAACATGATTCTAATCGTGAGAGAATAAGTCTTTGCTGTGTTGCTTGTTAGTATAAGGCACGTTGTTATTGCTTATAGGACATAAAACCTGCTGTGACAGGCGACTCTCACTGTAATGGTGCTTTGTCTGTTTTGAAATAAGACATGTTTGTCCTCATGACCGTTTTCGTTCAGTTCTCTGGCAGTGACTAACTGCACAGTCTGTCTACACAAGCAACTTCCCTGGGACTGTGGCCTCGGCTGGAGCTTTCCTCACGGGGCAGGTCCTGACTGGGCCTCGCGTCCTCGGAGGTCAGTGCACGACACTTAGAATCTAATCACAGGCTCGACGTGGGCAGTACGTCTAGGGGCTGGAAAATGCTGGCTTGGATCCCCGGGCACCCCTCCAGCGATTTGAATTTAACAGGTTTGTGTTCACGACCAGACATCAGCGTTAATAAACAAAACGCCCCCCCCCCCCCGCCCCGGTGATTCTGACATGCAGCCGGTGAGAAGCACTTTTTAGGTGAACTATTTTCATTCAGTCCCAGAGTTCGCTGGCATGGCGGTAAATTGTCATTTCCTTGCTCTGTGGTCACATGGCCCTCTGCCTCCCATCCCTTAGCCAGATCGTCGCTGCGGCTCCATCACCAGGTTGTTCTGCCCGTGTTACTGTGACGTCACATCTCGTGGCGGTTCCCTGATTAACAGCATATCCCGTCCATGTCATGGTGTGCTTTTTCCCTGTGCCATGTCACCGCTGATGTTTAAGGCAAAAAGCCACGTTGAGGAGCAATAAGGATTGAGCAGCTGCCAGGGGCGTCATTCTAGGAAGTTATAAGAATTAGCCAGAAATTTCACCTGCTTTCCCCAGTTAGGCTTTTTATTATTGTTCTGAATGGGTAACATGTTCACCAGTGTTCCCAGAAATTCTCCAGTGCCTCCTCTGGTGGGGCTGTGATTGTCACTCTGGCTTTAACTTCTGCTCTGTGGCTAAGTTCCCTTTTATCTCATGAATCAATTACTCCTAATCATGATGGACCTGCCTTTGAAACCCACGGGAAATGATAAAATGGTCATAATCCTGGAACTCTTACTTGGTGACATGTTTCATAACCTGGGCTCCAGGACCAGTCAGGTGGGCCTTAAGCTTCTGTGGTTATTTTTAGGCTTTCTTCTCTAAGCTGACCATCTGCTATATATACATACATCTTACATCGTTGACATTTTTGTTCAATATCTGTTGTCATTTGGGGCCAGAAAAATTGGAGTCATGCCAATTTGACTAGCTCTTTAAATTTCAGATGTTTCAAATCACATACATACAATGTGTGCTTCTGAGGCCACCTTAGCAGGGTGGCAGGGGAGAGGGATTATCATAATACCCAGTATTCTGAAGGGATCTGAACTCTTTTGTAGTTAATTCCCAGACAATTCTGGGAAAGCTCAAAGGGAGCCTTGACCTTGGTCCTCTAGGGTGTGACGTGAGTCTGCCCCTTTTCCTCCACCTGCAGACTATCTCCTTGCTCTGACAACAGCAAAACATCAAAAAGTGCAGAGACACGGGCCATCTGGATCGGGGGCCTGCACATCCAGCGCCCTCAGTTCTTGGGCCTCCTGTCTGTGCCGGCGTCTCACTGAGGCCGGCTTCGCTGTTCTGAGGCTCTCATGCCCCTCCCAGCCTTGCCAAGGCCAGACGTTGAGAGAGCCGAGGTCTACTCCCCGAATAAATTCACCCACCACTCCCAAAGCTAGTTAACTTACTTGCCACCCTGCAGAAGCCCCTGGAACTGCGCACTCTTTTTCTTGTGGTTCTTCTAGTTTTCACTTTTCTCATATTGCACATTTGGGTCCTAGTCCCTAACTTGACCCAGCGATGAAACTTAGAACGAACTCTTAAAGCATTCCACCCTATTTACTTAAACATTTTAAAAAGTGGTGCACGCACATGCGCAGCACAGTAAAAACGGTGCACAGTGGACAAAGTCTCGTCTCCCCACTGTCTCCTGCCCCGTATGCTCCTTCCCGCCCCAGAGTCTGCGACGGTGGCTGGTTTCCTGCGCATCTGCCAGAGATACAACCTCCAGACACAGCAGTGTCGAGGAGCCTGGAAAATGGTGCTGCGTTTTCCTGTAACTGCTGCCACTCTGCTCTGTCCCTCCTTTCTTTGCCGGCCTCCCAGCCTAGATTCCCTCCTAGATACTCGTCTCCCGTCTTGGTTCTGATTCCATGAATTTTTCATCTCTTTTGGTTATTATAACAGCTTCACCATTATTATTCATATCGAATCCTGTTCTTTAAAAATCTTCAACCTCCTAATTTATTTATAGGTCTTCCTCCATCGCCAGGACATGCAAGATTCTTGGTTTAAGGGTTGGCATAGTAGAGCTTGGTGCTTAGATTGGTGACGCTGGAACCAGACTTTAGAAGTGTGTATCCTATCTCTGCCACTTGGTAGTTCTGTGTGACCTTGGGAAGGTCACCTCCTGTCTCAGTTTCCTGTTTTGTCAAGTGGGGATAATAGTAGTCCTTACCCTATAGGGCTGCTGTGAGGATTAAATGAGTTATCCATTTAAACTGCTTGGAGCATGCCTAACACGTTATTAATGCTCTGTGAGCTTGAGCTACTTTTAGTGTTATTGGAAGGGGAAAGGGGTTTCCCCTCTCACAGTTCCCCCATTTTTATTTCTCTGGGGTTATGGCTGTATACTGGGAAAATATATATATGAAAAATACAGTGTTTGGGTGGTAAACACAATGCAATATATATATATACATATATGTATGTGTGTGTGTGTGTGTGTGTGTATATGTATATGTGTGTATATATATATATATGTTTTTGGTCTGCCCACAGCATGGTACGTCATCTTTCTGCAGGCTATCACTTCTGACAAAGTTTGCTGGGAAGGGTATGCGGCTGCATAGCAGTCCAGTCAGGGGCTGGGTGGGCCAACCCCTGTACCCCTGTGAGCGGGACGCGTCAAAACCTTCATCCTTCTCAGGTTGCGCTGAAGTTCGTTCCCCGGGGCACGCGAGGGTGAGCGAGAACATGACTCTGCAGGGGGAAAGCTAAAAACGGTTTTCAACCAAACTGCCATTTATTTATTCATTTATTTATTTTACTTTCACCTACGCATATGTATTTAAACATTAATTACGATAGCCTCGTAATGGAGAGAATGAACAAATTGGGCCTCCCCCCCACCCCCAAGAGATTTCAGTTACATTAATGTCCTTAAAGAATATGACTTACCATGTGGTATCATTGCACACTGGACCGCAGGCGATGGAGACTCTTAGCTGGTCAGAGAGAAGGAGGAGACTAGTTAAAAGGGAAGACACTTAATCTCTCTTATCACCGAGCGGGACGTATGCTGAAATCTGAAGCTAGTATGACCTTGATGGCAAAGTCACACACACACACACACACACACACACACACACACACACACACACACTAAAACTTCAAATTCGTTGTGAATATTACTGAACAGCACTTAACAAAAAGATTAGCAAACAGGATTCAGAACCACCCTAAAAGAGTAATGAACTATAACCAAATGGTCTTTACTCCAAACACACAAGGATAGTTCAATGAAAGGAAACTTACAATAAAATTCTTAACATTAATTGCTTAACAAAAACATTCACATAATTTTTATCGAGGCAAAAAAAATCTGACAGTTTTGAATCTATTTTCTTGATAATAATTCTTAATAGGACAGATATGGGGTTAATTTCTAAATGTGATGTAGAAATACAAAAGCCAGGTCCAGAGGTAGTAAAGAAAGACGCAGAAGCATTCTCCTAAAAGAACACGACGAAGGTGACCACGGCTGCTGCTGCCCTTTACCGGTTCTGGGCAGCCCATCCACTATCATTAGAAAATGGAAAGAAATGAAATATATTAAGATCAGAAAGGAAAAGGCTACATTAATTTTGAATTGTTTACTTCAATAATTCGAATCACTTACTTCAAAAAGAATAGGAACGTCTTTTAAATTTCTCTGTTATCAAAATGATTTAATTAGAATTGGAGTCATCAATGACTGATGTGTTTCGTAAAATTCCCTTATAAAATCTTTAGCACCTGCTATGTTTTTGTTTGTTCGTTTGTCCGACCAGCCCTTTGACGGTCATTTTTATTTCTTCTGTTTTAATTACTCTGTTTAGATTTTCTAGGTCTTCTGTCTAATCCCTTTTTAAAAAATAATTTTTGGGAATGAT